ACTACTACTACTACTACTACTACTACGACCACCACCGCCACCACTACCACAGCTACAACTACAACTACAATTTCGGCCGCCGCTGCCACCACCACCGCAAGTCTTCGGGCTTTAGAACATCGGCGGCAAAAGCACCACCAAGGTTCACCAGCATCTACGTGCTGATGATGCCTTTGACTGCCCGATTCCTCCAGAATTTTGACCTCACCCGCTTCCAGTAGCTTGGTCTTCATTTTGTTTTTGTATATAGTTTGCACCGATTGCGTTCTACTTTCCCTGTGTGCCCCATGGTAGCCCAGAGGTTTCAAATCAACAATTGGAAGCTGACCCCCACCCAGTTTTGACATTTCTTGACTTTGGAAAAACCCAGAAAAATGAACACCTCCCAAGTCCTCGCACGTTCCGAACCTCCGTTCCCCACGCTCCGAAAACCGCAGCGCTGGTCCCTGGGGGTCCGGACGGTCCAGGTTCACTGAGATGGGTCACAGCTTTGAGATGACCATGCCACGAGGATCACGAGCCTTTAACACTTCCTTGGAAATCGTCCAGGACGGAAACGTGACAGGTTGAAGTCTAGATAAGATATAATTAAGGAGAATATCGGAAAATTATAGACAGGTTGAAAGGAGGTTTGTTAGGGGCAGAGATGAGGGAGGGGAGCTTGTCCAATCGAAGGATCATCGAGGTCAGAAACAATAGGAGAGACAGGGGACAAAGGGACTGGAAGGGTTATGTGGTTATGCAAACTGAAGGACAGGAAGGGTTGCCGTATTCGCTCCGCTTATGAGTCATGGAACAACACTTTCAACCCTCAAGCAGTCCTGGAACATGAGTTTACTCTAATTTTCCAGCTGTTACAATCAAGAATTTTTGCATGGAGACTTGACCATGCACACACACAGAACTGGTGTTTGGTTTCTGGGTTATGGGATTCAGCCAGGACTTCGACTTTGACCTCACCCTGATGCGCCTTGGAAAGCGATACGGAATTCAGCTCAATCCGCTCCAGCCGAAACGCAACGTTTCCTCTTCAGAACCTCCGCAGCCTTCCCCCCACGGGGATCTCTGTTTGATGCACCGACTTCTCAGAACCGCCGGCGTCAGAATTCGAAGCCTTCCGACTTCCCAGTCTCTCAGCGAATCTACGCCTGGACCGACCCCAAGTCTCTCTCTGTCTATCTGTCTGTCTGTCTGTCTGTCTGTCTGTCTGCCTGGCTGGCTGGCTGGCTGGCTGGCTGGCTGGCTGGCTGTCTGTCTGTCTGTCTGTCTGTCTGTCTGTCTGTCTGTCTGTCTG